AGGGACCATATTTCTGTGGAAGGAGGATTGTGACAGGCACAGCGTTAAAGGAGAGGTCTGGAGTTTAATCCCAGCTTTGCCTTGGATCCCCTGTCAAATGCAGACAGTGACCTACCTCACAGGGCTGTTGTGAGGCTTCGTTGATGTTCGTAACGCATGTGGGACCTCGGGCGGGACAGCGCCACGGAGGAACACGAAGCAGGCGCTGGGGGAACCGAGGGGCTGTGCCCACGGGGGCGCGGTGCTGGAGGGAGGCGCTGCCACTGCTGTGCCCAGCAGCTGAGCAAACGGCGGTCGCAGGGCCCGGGAATTCTTTGTTTTTATTCACCATTTCTTATGCTCTTTGTATCTGAAATCAAGGCGAGGGGAGCGCCCCAGCTGGGCACGCGGCTGTGCCCTGCTGGGGGAGGAAGGGGCTGAGCTCCTGCAGGTGTGGGCGATGGCAAAGGGGGGTCCCGGCCGCGCTGGGGCCGGGGGCTGCCTGCTGCTGGGGCCACCTTTTGGTTCTGCCACTTGTTCTTCTACTAAGATTTAATTTACTCGTCATGGGCTTTAATTAACGGAGCTGTGCCCCTGCCATCTGAACTGAGGGACTGCAGCGGGGGGTGCGGGAGCCCCGGGGCTCCAGCGGCCGTGGGCGAAAAGCACAAGGGCAGGGCAGGGGGTGGCGGGGGCTCGGGGCCGCTCCTGCCCTCCTGGAGCCGCCGGCCTCCCGCGGGCGGTCGGAGTCCTGCAGCCTGTGTTCACTCGAAACTTTTCATCTTCATTTCACTTGCTTGAGGTTGTCACTATTATTTGACCAGTGTTTGTTTCTTTTGGCCTGTATAATGGGCAGTATGTTTTTTTCCCTTCCAGCAGGTTTAAAAAAAAAAAAAGAAAAAAAGAAAAAAAAAAAAAGAAAAAAAAAGACTAAGCTATTGTCTAAATGGTTCAGAACTAGTGTGATATTGGGATACTTCAGTGGCTGTTATGTGATACTGGATCTTTTTACAACATAGATTAAAGACAATAAAAAGGGATAGAGTAGTAACCGCCTCTGTCCTCTTCGTTCTTTTCATTGATTTGCTTTCAGTGGCTGCCCAAAGGCTGGAGCTGGGAGAGGGGCACGGAGACCCCAAGGGAGACCCCAGCCCTGCCCCTGCTTGGCCTCGTGTGGCACCGGCCCAGGGCCACCAAGCACCAGGGGAAGGCAAAGCCCATCCCTGGCAGTGCCCAAGGCCAGGCTGGAGCTGGGGGGTGCTGGGCATGGCAGGGGGTGGCCATGGAGGGGGCTTTGGGGTCCCTTCGCACCCAGACCCTTCTGTGGCTCTATGTAGAGCGCTCCTAAGCCTGCCTTGAAAACCGAAGCCTGAGAGTTGTGTTTTTTGGAGGGATTGAGGAGAGGGGTCACAAAAACAGGGCTGTGCCCCCTCCTCCAGCCCAGCTTCCACAGCTCTTGGGGCCGGGACCCAGCTGGGGCTTGGCGGGGCCGGTGCTCAGGAGGAAAGGGCTGGGGCCTTAGGCTACAACCTACACGGGCTCTGGGGGGGCTTTCAGAAGAGCTGTGGAGGGCAGGAGGGGCTGGGTGCTGCCTGCAGGAAAAGTCTTCCTGCCCTGACCCCCCAATACACCCAGCCAGCAGCACCCTGAGCTTGACTGCATCCTGGTGAGGAAAGGTAGAAAAAGTTTTTTTTTGTGTGTGTGCTGGGGAGAGCAGCTCCTCCGGGCTCTCCATTCACAGCTGTGGATGGAGCCTCACCACCACCCTTGGCCATTGCTGCACCCGCAGCCCCCGGGGCTGGGCAGAAGCCAAAACTCCCCGCTGCCCACCCCAGCCCCTTTACCCCTTCCTCTGAGCTCCCCAGGCCCCCACAAAGAGCACGCCATGCTGAGGAGGAACATCTAGAAGCTTTATTTCAACCCTTTACAATAGTAATAATAATCACAACATCAAATCAGGAAATGTTGCTAAGGAGACAGTCGTACAGCCCTCGGAGGAGGGTGACACAAGGCAGAAGCAAACCCGCTACGAATCCAGGCCGTGGCAGGAGGGGCGCTGCCCCCCGCTCCCTCTCCCAGGCCTCACCCCCATGCAAGACCCCCCCCCCGCCCCAGCCCCCTGCTCCCTCCCTCAGTGCCCCCCTCGGTACAGGTAACGCTGGCGCCGCGCTCCGCCACAGCCGGGCGGCACCGAGGAGACGGTGCCTCTGCTGAGTAATCCTATGACACAAAATAATGAGAATACTTCACATTTAGCCACCGCTTTGCACGCTGCTCACGCCTCACAACAGCCCGGCGAGGTAAGTCGTGATCATCCCCACCTTGCGGATGGGGAAACTGAGGCAGGGAGGCTCCGCGGCTTCCCAAGGCCATGGGGGAGCCAAGAGCCAGGGTCAGGCCTCCCGGGTCCTGCGCTCTGAGCTCCTCGCCACCCCACTGCCCTCTCGGTCCACCCCGCTCTCCTCCCACGGGCCGTTATTCCCCCACTACGTCTGTACGCCTTGTACCTATGTTACGGGGTAGCTGAAGCTGCAGGCAATGCTGAATGCTGGAGCGGGAAGGTCACAAAGGTGCTGGACGGGAGTCTCGTGTCTGATCATACTCTAGACACCAGCTGGTGGCCAGCGAGACTCGTGCGAGGGGGGGATTTCAAAGGCGACTGCTGACTCTAAGCAGGACGCGGGTGGTGAGGAGGAAGAAGCGACAGAGCCTGCCTTCCACTGCTCCCCCCGCTGCCGCGGGGCCCTGCCCACCCCTCAGCGCCCAGGCCCAGAGGCTGCGAACACCGAGCTGCTGCCAAGAAATTCTGCCCACACATCACGAACACGAGAGGGGCCCAGAGCCCACGCACACACCCACGCGGGGACAACAGCGGGGTCAGCATAGAAAAACTACATTCAGTTTGCGGTCAGGGCGCCGACCTGCGAGGGGAGGCCGCGCGCTGGGCGCAGCAGCAAAGTGGCTGCGGCTCCCGTCCTCCTGCTCCTGTGGCCTCAAGCCTGCACGCTCGGTTCCGTGAATGTATTTTTACAGTATAAAAAGCCCCAAAGTAACTGCACGTGCCACTGATATGCAGGGGGACCCCCTCCAGGTGCCAGCAGCCGAGCAGCCCCTGCCTGGTTGCGCATCGCTTCTGCAGCTCAGCCTGCCTCCAAGACAACTTGTGCCATGTCCAAGCGCTTTGGACAAGGCTTTGCTGCGCACCCTGCCCCAACGCGAGGTGGGAGCCGGCTCCAGCACACCCTGCGGCACCTGAGCCCAACGTGCCTGACTTCTCCCAGCTGGGCTCATCGGAGCCAAGCGGCTGCTCTGCACCCCCGAGCCCATCCTTCCCTCCCTGCCTTCCCCAGAGCACACAGCACACCACGCACAGCTGCAGAGAAAGCCAGGACCCACCCGAGGCATCTCAGGCCAGGGACATCTACAGGCAAATTGCATCTAAGTCAGACCACAACTTATTTTTTTCTTCCCCAAGAGCATTTGCTACCTCTAGCCCTTGATCAAGCTGGTGGCAAACACAGCTCCTTCCCCTGCTGTGCCCAGCCAGCAGCTTCTCCGCAGCCCTCATTTAAGGTCTCAGCAACAACCAGCTCACTCCCATCTCTCCAGATAGGAAACCGAAGTCGTTTCACCACACACCGATCTCTTCCCAGGCTAGCCATATGTACAGCCATTTCCTTAAAACAAAATTTAAAACAAAAACATTGAAACTGAAGCCGTCTTAGAAAAAAACAACAAAACAAAACAACAACAACACACCAAGCTAATGTATCTGGACTTAGTTTGTCAGCTAAACACAGGCACAACAAGTGTTAGAGAAAGTGGCACAGAGGCACGGGGCCGTCGGTTCGCAGCTGCCCGGGAGGTGCTGGGGGGGGGCTGAGCAGCCTGAACGCCTCCGCACCCCCGCGGGGCCCTGAGCCGAGCAGCCGGACACACAAAGCAACGCAGCGGGGAGAAGGTGCCATTGCTGTCCCTTTGCAAGGTGTGCGGGTTTCGCTTGCTTTTTTTTTTTTTGCAGTCCCTAGGAGATAAAGTGCAATGTTGCCACTCGCCTTCCTACCGCCGCACCTGAACTAAGACCAGGACAAAGCCGCGGGCAGCTGGGAGCCACCTGAGCTTCACCTCGCTCACCCAGGGCAGCGCGGCAAGGGGGGGACGCGGCGTTTTGGTGCCCACCTCGGCTCTGGTTGCCCAAGGCCACCGCCACGCTTTGCGTCCCCTCCTGGCGCACGCGGCTCTGCCCGGCCCCTGCCTGCACCAGCCCCGAGCACGCCTGTGCCCGTTATTGCTTCAGGAAGAAAAATCCGCGCCTTTCCCTGCGGAGGGCATGAGCCTGCTCTCCCGATTCCCTCTCCGTCAAACTTCGCCTCGTTTCAAGCGCTGGAACGCCAACCAACCATCACCAGATTGACAAGCTCTAGCTGGTGTTCAGAATTTAGCAATAAGAGAAAGAAGGAAGCATCAGCGAAGGGGCAGTGATATATACCGGGGGCTGCATGCGGGTGACCGGGTGGGCGGAGGCCACGGGAGCAGCTGGAGGGTTTCAGGCTCGGCGCGCTCGGGGAACGCTCGCCAGGCAGCAGGTTTCCACCCCAGCCCCATAATGGGGCCAAAACCCCTGCAGCCGGCGGCGTTAACCCACGGGCGGGGGCTCCCCGGGCACCTCCAGCTTTTCTCTCCGCGGAGCCGTCCATGGGACAGGGGGAGCAGGAGGGTCCCCGGGGTGTCGGTGCCGGCTCCTCGAGCCGGGTGCCTGGAGCAGGTGGTGGACACGGGGCACCGCACGGCACCGCACGGCTGCGGCGTTCCCCGGCCTTGGGATTCGAGGGTTGTGGCATGGAGGGGAGAGGAGAGGAGAGGGGGTGGTGGTGGTGGTGATGAGGAGGAGGAGGGGAGGAGGAAGGGAAGCAGTGGGAGTTTTCTGGGGTATATATAACCGCCCCTTTCAGGTGCAAATCTGCATTGCTTATTTCAATTTGTATTCAGAGGAAAAAGCACTTATGAAACTAGCAGACGACTTTGATGCAAACTAGTACATTTTAATGCCATTTTATTAGAAATCATGCAAACTTTAATATAAAAAATACAAGTGCAATAAGAATCTTTGTGTGTAAATACAGATTCCGGGTTATCGTGTCATTGTCGGCTTTCCCAAAGAAATATTCCCACAAGCATGAGAAGCTGCAGGCTTCCCTCTGTCCCCTCCTTTGATCAGCTCCCCCTTAGCACACGCCTGGTTCAGTTGACTTTGATCCCAGTGTTTTGTTACTCCGCCCTTTTTTTTTTTTTTTTTTTTTTTTTGCTTTAAATTAGTTTGACGACCCAAGAACACTTCTTTCTTTTTTTTTCTTTTTTTATTTACATTTCTCCTTTTTTTTTTTTTTTTTTTTTTTAGTGTCATTTGCAACATCAAACGAGGAGCTCAAGAGCCTCAAAGAGTCACGTCTAAGCAATCCCCTCCCGAGTCAGAGCTGCAGCTCCCTGGCACTACAAACCTGCCGGCCCCAGCGGGGCGCTGCCCCCCCCCCATCTCCAGCCCTCCGCAGACGTCCCGCGACCCCCTCCTCGTGCCCCGGGCGCAGGGTGGCCGCCCCGTCCTCCCCGCGGCCCCCGCCAGCGCCGTTCAGCCTGACGGCGTGGTTCCCCACCCGTCGGCCCCGGTTAAAACGCTACACGCACCACACAACCTGCTTGCCTCCGAACTCCCGGCCTGCGTTAAACCTGCAACTCCACCGCCAAAGCAGCCTCCTGCCCTTCCTCCAGACCTCGGGCCCCGGCTGGAAAAACAGCCAGGGCTTTGGCTGTGCGAGTTAATAAATAAACAAACCGTCTTCGCCTTGCTAAGCCACAGAAGGTGCTACGGCATCCTCTAGGGCTGGTGGTTTGGCCCTACAGGAGGTTTTTTTTTTTTTTTTTACGAGCATCGATTCAACTCGTTGCAGTCAACACAGGCTTCATCTGATCTGTTACAGCAAGGAGTTTTCCTTTAACACATTCTTGTGCCTTTCATTTCAGACATGGCTTAATCCCATGAATTTTGCTCCATCGTTTTTAAAATATTAAAAAAAACAACAACAAAAAGTTACAATTGCTGGATATGTCAATAAGAAGCCAGCACTGCAGCAGCGGTTAATGTCTCTACTCTCCTACGGTTAGGAAAAGAAGGAAAAGAGAAAAGGAAACTTAGCATGGGTTGGTAGCACGATAAATCATCAACACATTGTCACAAAGAATAAAAGGCTAAAGTCAACAGTTAAAACAGCCTAACGTGTGTGTATAATATATATCATCATCAAACAGGGTCAGCAGAAACTGAAGCAGCAAGGAGGAAAAGTTTTTTGTTTTTTTTTTCTTAAAAAGAAAGAAAGATCACAGCTTATCCCTGTTAACTCTGGCCTGGCTTCAGCCACCAGCAGCGTGGGCGCGCTTCTCCCCGAACCTCCCGCTCGCCAGCCCCGGACAGCGGCCGTGGGCTGGAAGTCGCTGGGTGCCGACCCCGAAACAGCGGCCACCACTCCCTCTAGGGTCCTCCTAAAAGCCAAAGGGATGAGGCGAGGAGAGGGAGCGAAGCCCTTCCCAGCCCCAAAAGGGCCCCCAAAGGCTGCCACGCTCGGGCAAGGGGGTGCGCGGCCAGGACGCCCCCGTGCCCACGGCCGCCCAGACGGCACCGAGCCGAGAGGCAGCGCCGCCGAAAGGGACGCGAGCCCTGCTAAACGCTGTCCCCTTCCCACCTGAAGCCAGACGCCGGGTTAAGAGAGCCAAGCTGCGTTACTTGGGGGGGGGAGAGCGAGGGAGACGGGGCGGGGAGGGGGTCACAAGCCTTGCTGAGAAAGCGCTGCAAGGGGAGCTGGCTGTTGCAGCGGTGACAAGGAGGCGACCGAGCCCAGGCTCTCGCTGACGGATGTGCTACGCCAGGGGGAGGTGCTGCTGGAAAGGTTTTGGGGTTTGGAGACGACGATTTCCGCTCCGTGGTCTGTTCGAGCCTTGGCCTTCTCACGGAACGTCAGCTTGTGAGATTCAATCTGCAGCGACACAAGGGCAGGTGAGAAGGGGAAGGGTCGGGAGAAGGAGAAGAGGAGGAGAGGAGGGGGAAGGACAGGAGGGGAACGGAAGACGATACCAGAATGTCATCATTAGATGCCTGGAAGATAAAAGGCAATTTTCTTCATTAAAAAAAAAGGCAAAAACCCTGCAGACATCGCTACAAAACAGTTCAAAACTTTTCAGCTTACAGCGGTGGGACCGGTGCTCACGGGCGGCTGCTCTGCCCCTGCTGCAGTGCTCTCCCCGTCCCACCCGGCAGAGTGCGTAGAGAGAAGGCGCAGGCACTTACTTGTTTCTTGTATCTGAGTCTCGAAGCTCTGAATTTCCCTTTGGTCACCCCCGCTCAGGGCAGTGGGCACTGCCGGCCCTACGCCATTCTCCCGCATCTCACTGCCTGCCGGGGCCGCCGGCACCTCTCCGTTCTGAGGGGCTGGCGGGAGCTGCCCTGGCTCCGCGCTCCCCTCAGCCTACAAGGAGACAACACGGGGTGGGGAGGACGACAGGACGAGTCAATCGAAAACGGGGCTGGGGGGTGGGAAACGCGGCTCCCCCGAGCCCCCTCTGCCCTCCCCAGCTGCCGAGACGCGCGCGGGGACCGGGGTTTTTTGGGGGGAGGCAGCGGCCCCCTCGGTTCCCCGGAAAGTCGCCGTCCTGGCCGGCTCCCAGTGCCCCAGCACCCACGTCCCGGTGGCACCGAGCTGCCCCTGCCAGCTCGTCCTGGTGTGGGCACCGTGCCCACGGCCATGGGGTAGGAGCTCAGCCCCCGTAACGCTCGGGTGAGGGAGGAGGAGAGACAGAGGCAGGGCAGGTAACAGGGCAGCGAGCTACGGGGTGGAGAGCAAGCAGGTGGGTTGAGCAGAGCCCAGTGAAGCAGAATGCTTTGTGTGGATGCGTTTATGCAGCAGACCCTAAAGATATGTGGATCCTAAATCTGGGTTTGTACGAGGATGCTGGACCCTCGAGGACCTGCGCTGGCTGAGGGCTGGGGGGTGCAGTGGGGAAATGCTTTGGTGTCTGCATCAACAGAAAGAAATGGGTGAGAGTGCCACGGACAGACTCTGCACCCATGGAGACAGCAGGAAAACTCTGAAGATGAAAGATTTTAGCAGGTTCACGACAACCCTCCTTAAAGTAGAGAGCAGCAGCACGTGGCCCGCAGCCTGCAGCACGCCGAGCAGCCAGGATTCAGCACAGAAAGCTCCCCGGCCCTACCAGCACACCGGGTACCCTACAGCTCCCTCCAGCTCTTCACTGAGCCCAGGCTGAATTTTACATAAAGGGTTGGAGAGTCCCACAGTGTCCCCAAACACCCTGGCAGCCCCTTGAGGTGGGGACGGCTGAGCACGAACTAAATATCCTTGTGATTTCTGCTGCCCTTCAGGCCAGGGATTATTTATTTCTTCCAAGTGCAGGCAGCGTTTAACACAATGGCTCAAGCCAGCCGAGCCCCAGGCCCTGCCGTGACACAAAAATGCTGGAACAAAGCCACGGGGGCAGCCGAGGGCAGGTAGGGGGAGGTTCTGCACCTCCGCCGGGCGCTCCTGCTGGGGGAACAGAGTCCCGTTTGTGACGCTGGAGCACGGGATTGGTTTTGCTGCTGCTAGGGCCACCAGGCAATTCGGAAGCAGCAGTGTTTCGCAGAAAAGCCCCAGCACAAGCGAGTGTAATAAGGGGGAATTGCCCTCCCCGAAGAGCAGATGTCTCCTTGCTGCAGCGAGACCTACAATCTGCAGAGCTGAGGCTGGGGGGCAGCTGGAGTTAGGCTTTCATGGGGAGAAGCGGTGAATCACACTGATAATAACACACGAGCCTTTCTTGCCCTCCTACAAAGGGCCTTCAGGCTGGGCTGTGGTGCAGAATCTGGCTGAGAAGTGCTCCCGAGAGCTGCAAGGTGCCATTTCCCAGTATTTCCCAGCCTCAAATTCATCAGCTTTACTGGGGGGAAGAGGGAAAAGGGGGGAAGAGGTCCCAGCAGGCCACATGCAGCAGCTCCGACAGGCTTACGGAGCAATCCCTGCTCTCGGGTTCTTAGAGGAAGGATGCAAGTGCACGGGGGCAGTTCGAGCCCTGCAGGAAACCCATTCAGGCAGGCTGCTGAGTGGGCTCACAGCTCTCTGCTTTTCAGTTCATACTTACTCCTGGGGTTGACAAAAGAGAGGCCACAGCAATAAATAGATGGCTGTAAAAGGCTGGGGGTGGAGAGGCTGGGCTACATGAACAGCAGGACGAGGAGAAGAACCAAATTTAAACCCTACCCTGACATGCCAGAGCTGGCTGCACCCACCTTCACTGTTCCTCCTGCTGGCAAGTGTCCCACGTTGTCCAGAGAACCCACTTTGGCCTGGGCCTTCTCCTTGAAGTTCAGCTTCTGGTTCTCAATTTTGACGTCTCCTCCCCCTAGAACAAGATTGCGTAGGGCTGAGTTTATCAACGCCTCCAGAAGAGTCCCACTTCAGATCTGTTTTAAAAACTGGCGAGACCCAGGTTGGCAATTTCCACCCGTGCAGGCACACAGGGCTGCAGGGCAAAGCCCTGGAGGTGCCATCAGGTGGGGACAGCCACACGTCCTACAAATTACCCACTGTCTGCAGTGAGAGGGCTCGGGTTCAGGAGAACCTGAAGGTCAGTAAAACAACCAGCAAGATTTCCCTGGGTTTCGAGTGCTGCAGTTCCTGTTAATAAACTAATAAGGTGCATAAAATCTGTATTCCAGTGGATTTCTCAGAAAACTATTGAAATATTCCTGAGCACAATTTGCTTCCCAGTGCCATCATTAAACACCCAGCAGCTTTGCCTGGCCAGTTGTGGAAGCCAACGGATTTGGTTCAACAAGGTCAGTTAAAACATTTGACAACAGAGAGTTCTGGACGGGTTCCTCTGCTTTAATCACCCTGGACAAGAGCAGTCATTGTTGCAGGGAGCTTGTTACTGCAGAGCGCTGAGCACACAGAGGTCATGCTGGTGGCACCACGGTCTCCAACGGGAGCGTTTCGAGGCGTTGAACCGTGCTGCTCCGCGTGCGAGGAGCTTTCAACCTACGGGGCTGCAAAAAGGGTGCAGGGAACTCCCAGGAGCAGACAAGGACAGGCCTGTGGGAATTGGTTGCAGCTTTGGGCAGTGAACTTTGTCCCTCGCACACCAATTTTTGGTTGCCGTGCAGGTAGCTGTCCTCAGATATGGACAAACCTGCAGAAGTCACTACGCTGGCCGTGCTTTGGGATGCCACAAAGGCACAGCTCAAACAACCTGCCAGCAGCCACGGAACCCTAAACTCGAGACTTGCCAGCACGCCAGCTGAGTGGGAAGCTGCTCATGGGTTGTTTAGGAAACCTGGGACTCACAGGAGAGCAACTGCTGGGTTCTCAGTGGGGAACAAACAATTCCTGCACACCCATCCCATAATATGTTGTTAGAGCCAAAAGTGTTGTCTATCAGATAGGGGATGCTACAGAACTAAAGGCTAAATGTCCCTCAGATCTGCCTTGAAGGTCTGGAGGGAAGTTACTGCATCCTTCCGTGGCACCTTGGTCCCCAAAGCCTCTGGGAGCACGAACAAAGCTCTCTCACTCCCCAAGCAGTCGTGCTAAGTATCTGCTTTGTCAAATGGGGTGGAAAGAGAACGAAGTCAAAGACTTTGCAGCTTCTGCAGATAAATCATGAGGAAATGGTAAAATTTCTACCTGGCTTATGCTTGATGTTTGCTTTCGAGCCACACTTGGAGGACACTTTGGAAAGGTCAACTTTCTTGTTCTGGATCTGCACCTACAAGACAAAAAGAAACAGCTCAGCACAAAGAAACATTTCCTGGGAATCTGGAGGCCAAGGCAGCATCTCATACCTCAAGTCGGGCTTAAAGAACCTGCACCCCTTCTCCACTGGATGGTTTTTCCTTACCCATTGCCCAGCCAGTGCACAGAAGGCCTTAGCACTACTAAATGCCTGGACCAGCCACAAGTGGTTAATGTGAGCAGCCTTAAACCGAGACCAGATAAAAGCTAACAAAGGACCAGCAACCAGAAGCAACTCTTGAGCTTATGGGTATGTCCACGGAACCAAAAACACCGGCAGAGGGACCAAAAAAAGCCAGTTTCATTGCCATGAGCCCCAGACTTTCTGCTCGTGGCCTGGGCAGCTTCAGAGCCACCAGGACATCCATCCATCCATCCATCCATCCATCCATCCATCCATCCATCCATCCATCCATCCATCCATCCATCCATCCATCCATTCTCTCATGGCCACCCTTGCTGTAGGGCCAGAAACATGTCACCAGCTTTTTTTTTCCCCTAACCATTTTCAACGTGTCTGTTCCCAGCCTCCTCACTGCGCTCTTCCCTCCCTGCCAAGGACAGGACACCAGGTAGGATCATCGTGCCCTGGTGGAACAAATGGCTTGAAGAAGGACCCAATGTCTCTCTCCTAGTACTGTTTCCTTTAATCTTATTCTACCAGTGACCAATATCAGCGTGGAAAACGTCCCACGAAAACAATACAGGGTGATGCACTCAAGAAATCACAACATGTTCATGACTCGGTAAGTGATCTTCTTCCAAGTCAACAATGAGCCAAATGTCACAGCACGGTGCGTCAGGACTGGTTTCAATTTGGGGAGAAGTGTCTTCTCTGAGGTAGGACAAAGCTGAAGTCAAAATGTCTCAGATTTGATGTCTTTTTGCTCTAAAAATATTTCATCTCTGACCCCTGGATCTTCTAGACACTACGTGAATTGTACAGAGCCCCACTTCTGACACTCCTGCAGCTCCAGGTGGATGCAAGATTCCTCTATTCTGGAATTAACCTCTGCATAACTCCTTCTAAACCTCTCATTTCATACAGTCGTAGGATAATTTAACTGGAAGAAACCTCTGGAGCTCATCTGGTCCAGTGAAAAGTCGTGAAATGCCAGGTGGAAATGTCTAGCATCAAACTTTCAGTGGGAAAAATCCACAGGCATTTTGTGTGTGTGTGTCTTTTTTATTTTATTTTATTTTATTTTATTTTATTTTATTTTATTTTATTTTATTTTATTTTATTTTATTTTATTTTATTTTATTTTATTTTATTTTTGTAGTAATGTTAAAAGGATGTAACCTTTCCATCCATGTCACCAACCACCAGCTGGCACCCGTGTGCACAAGCAGTTCTGCCACAAATTGTTTTTCGGAGAAAATTAGAAAGAAGAACAAGAATTTGTTCACTTACAAATTACTCTAACGTTTTTTTGAAAACTGCCACGATAATTTGTAGCACATCGTTCTCAGGAAGCATGAATCCTCTATTACTTGTGAGGAGGGATGAGTCAAAGCCATGCTGCCTTGTTTGCTCAGCACGGTTCAGCTTCCTGCTATGGCGTTCCCTGTATCTTGTACCCTGACTCAGAGACACCAGACGCTCCGAAAACATGAAATCACGGCCTCTAAAATTCATTTTTTTAGTGGCTGCTACTGAAGTTACTGAAGCTTTTATAATGTGAGTATTTGTTTGCTTGGAACTGGACTCTATTTCATAAAAATTCTTTTTTTTTAAATAACGTTTATCATCAGCAAGGGTAGACTTACCCAGTTGTGACTATTCATGATTTCACCCAGGGATCCAAACAATTATACCTAAATGGAAGTGTATTTCTTGTAAGATTTCTGATGTGAGTTGTTTTCAGCTTGCAGTGGGAGATAAGATTAATGGCTGGGCTTGCATTTGTAGAGCCAAATGCTCAGACTCCGGTGCCAAGTAAATCTTAGACCTCAAAGCTCGATCCAGAGGTTTTCAGAAGAAGTTTTATGTCTTTTTTTACAGCCATAAAAACCTCACCTTGTTTTACATTTTGTATCGTATCTCTGACCACTTCCCGATCCATCTGAGCAGGTAAAGCCAAAGGGTAGAGAAACCATAAATTCCAAATCACCTTGTTGAATTTTCAACAATACGTATGCTATGTGCATTTCGGAAAATTTGTGTCTTTACTGTTGTTTTCGTTAAAAAGAGAGCAGAAAAATACCGAAGCACTACAAAAGCTTTTGCCCAGGAAATTTGTCTGTCTTTGTGCCATGGTATTTCTGTGAAATGTAATCGAAATATGAAGGGTGTCTACTGCTTTTGAACGTGGATTCTTGGGTATCTTGGAGGGGAGAAGTTATTTCTGGGGGTTTCCTTCCTTGCAGAGCCTCAAAAGTCACCTGGGCATGGTGCTGGGCACCCTGGAGCAGGGTTTGGGCCAGAGGGACACAGAGGTGCCTCCAACCATAATGCCTGATAGGAACAACTCCACTTAGGTAGGCTGTCAAGCACTTCTACCAGAGCAACCCTAAAGCTGAACCACAACGTGCTACGAACCACACCTCTTGTCCAGAGGATTCCTACAAGCTTTTACTGAAGCCACAGACCATGGACTTTCCAGACATCCCCATCAGCAGTGTGGTTTGGGAATTGAGCATCAGGAAACCTTCCATCAGAAGTGATCATCGTAATTATTTGAACAAAAAAAAAACATCTCGGAAGAGGACACTGCTATTACAGTGCCCCAGAGTGAGTGGATATAAAAATGAGTGAGAGGAAACACTTTTGTAGGAAGCCAGACTGGCCTCTCTGTGCCTCTTCTACTCACACTGGTACTGCCTGGGCTGGCTCTGGGGGCGTTGGATGGCTGGGAACAACTACCTGAAGCTGGCTTTGGGATATGTGGAACCTGGAAAGAATAAGCACTTTATTCTCAAGGTAAAAACCTTAAGTAAGGAGAAAAACTGTAGTGGTAAAAGAGGAGTGTGGTCGAGAAAAAGAAAGTGGGCTCACACGTGTCCTCTGGAGTTGAAAACACTCCAAGGACAGAAGAGCAAAACAAAGAAGAAAGCACAGGTCTGGTGATTTCTTAGAAGAAAGAGTTCCTTAATGTAGTTATCTAGCAAGAAAAATATCCTCCACATTAAAGCACATCTCTGTTGGCCCCAGAAAAGGAAGCACATGTAAGATCTATGGAGTGGCAACAGAAGAGGGGCTTACAAAATACAGCTCCTCTGAGTGCACAAACGGGAGCAGCAGAAACATGCTTAACTGCAAACCAGCACTACGAGGGCACCTAAAATTCACACAGTGGTCTCAAAATCAAGTTTTCTTCCTATTTTGCAAAGCAGAGAATTTTCCTGTGTGAGTTTTTCTATGGGAAAGCTCCACACACACATGCGTGCGCTCCCATAAATACCGGGCACGTCACTGAAATACCAAATAATACTAAATAATACTAAATAGGAATGGCAAATCCCACTGGTGAGAATCAGCAAGCTGAAAAGCAAGGAGGGCAGAGACGTGCCCAAGGTTTGAGGAAGAACTGCTCACGTAGGGTAAAGATTCAGCCAGCCAGACATACACACATAGGTTTGCCAGGAAAAGTGGCCCCAGCAGCTTGCAGCAGTCAGGACCTACGGAGTGTCTTTCTGAAACCATCCAGCCTTTGTATTTCTGCACACTAATGCTGGTACAAGCAGGCCAGAGCAGATTTGGGAGGTTATCACAGGCTGTGTCCGCAAGGAAACGCCCGCCAAACTACCACCGCTGTTTTCCAGCCCTTGAGGATTTAGACAGTGCTTTTTTTTTTTGGCCAGACACTTTCAGGCTATAATAAGCCAAACCAAGGACACAGACAGAAGATTAGCCTTCCATTTAACGAGCTCAGCTCTGTTGCCAGAGATACCAGCGGCCTTTAAATTTAGAAGTTAATCACAGCTCCACGATTAAGTCCCGGTCTTTTCTTCCTCCTTTTTTTTGAAGTCTCCCTTCTTGCAAAGCACGAAGCAAAATTAATCTGAGTCAGATTAATTTTACTTACTCGCTCTACTAGCCAGTGAAGAGCAATAGGCAATTCCAGGCCACGATTCATTTCGGCTACAACCAGACATCAAAAGCAGGTCAGAGCCTGATGAGGTGCCTCCATTGACTACAGAGGGAATCCACAGCGAGCTAACTCCTGGGGTCAGCAATGTGCACAGCCCGCATTTGCTCAATTAATACCACGGAAACCATGCGAGAAATAGGTCAGGAGCATTCGTGCTGCTGTGCACCAGGACCCACACACCCGTGTATTCAACCTAGCAGCCCAAGGGGGGAAAAAATCACCAGCCTACTTTATTTCCAGAAGCCCTGAAGCTCTGCCGTACCTTTCTGCCCTGGATCAGGGCTTTCTACGGACTGACTGACACAAAACATGATACGAGAGAAGGAGTTAGTAGAAAGACAGCTTGCCCAGAGCCCATACTTACATTCCCACCTCCAGGGACATGCTTAATATTGTCCTTGGAACCACACTTGGACTGAACATGGCTGTAGTTCGCTTTTTTGGAGACTATCTGGACCTAGAATGTTACAGAATGGAAAACAACACAAGGGAAGAGGACTGGTTAGAGTTGTCATACGGCAGGCTGGAGAGGATGCTCTAACACGGTGGGTAAACGAGGAGTTGTGTTAAGCTCAGTCCGACTTTAGTGTTAGGTGTGAAAAGCAACTGAGGAGGAGAGTGAGAAAAAAAAGGGGAGCGAAACGAGAGGCTGCACAGACGGTGTTAGTGCGAGAGCAGAAGCGCTGCCACCACTGCCCGGCTGCTGGGGGGCAGCACCGGGGGCTGCCTGCCACGAGCTGGGTCCTCACCAGCCCCGCACGAGGCTTCCTGGGAGGGAGCTGGCTGGTGAGAGCTGCCCCGAGCACGTGGAGGCACAAATCCAAGCGGCGAGAAGCAGCTCGGCCACCTCCGTCCTCCACTGGATGGAAAACACGGGGCTGCTGCTTCCAGCGGAGCTCGGAGCTGGTGAGGGGCTGCACTGTGCTCACTTCTGGTCCGTGTCTGCACTGAATTCATTTCTGGTGCCTGCACTGTACTCACTTCTGGTCCGTGTCTTTCTGGTCCATCTGCACTGTCCTAATTTCAGGTCCGTTTTCTGCTTGCCGGGACTGACTCCAGTCCTGGGTAAGGGCTCTCAGAAGCTCTGGGCAGTAAAACCCAGTCTAAGAAATAGTTTCCCAATGAAGGCTGTCAGACCTGCAGTTAAATTTTATCAGACAAGCCTGACGTTCATTAAATAGATGCAGAGTTTCTCCTTGAAGCTAAAAGGACTCTTTTTTTTTCAGAATACAACAAGAGGATGCTAAATGCTGGCTTTATTCACCGGGGTGAAGTAACTGAGTTAGAGCAACAGGTCTAGGTTTACACAGGGTTAGTTACAAGACGTGTTTAGTCTGGGAGTTATTGAACAGCACAGAACGTGGCAGAAGCTGTGTCCTGGAGCATTTGCTAGGAGGAGGTGATCAATTCAGAGCACAAAAGGAACCACCAGAAGATCCTCAACTTTAGCGGGTTTCCACAAGCTACTCAGCCAGTTCTGAAAGACTGGATTCGGTACAACAGAAGTTATCAAAATGTGCTTTTTCTGTTAAATTTATGTTGGTTTACTGGCTTCCTTAGAGGCACAAATTTGACACTTCTCTAACAGGCTCTGCCTGACGAATCCTGCCCGGGACCTGCAGTACGGGCACCCCAACTCGTCCCCCATCTGGGGCTGGGTGGCTCACACACTGCGGGGTCACGACAGAGTTACCCACCCAACGGGGACTGCCTGAGGTTCAGGTAAGGGGTTTTGGTGCAGCCAGGCTGGGAACGTCGCCGGGAAGACATTAGGAATACCCTCAATGTTCTGCCATCGGCGTGAAAACAAGCAGCAAAGCTCTCGGCTCGTGTTGTGTACGTAAAAGGGAAACTTCCAACTCAAAATTAAGCCCATCTAAAAGGGAAAACTACACTGAAAATGTTTTATAGCAGGCATTGAAAAGTTATCCACCGTAGTGAGCTCTGATGTGCTCAACTGGGAACATCTCAGGCTTTAGAAAGAACGGGAGAAGTGTCTGTGCAGGGAACAGGGACACTGACAGGAGAAAGCAGAAGAGTTGAAGAGGAGGGAAAGTGACTCAAAATGGAAATGTTTTTTTCCTTCGTCTCCCACAGAGAAAAGTCTGAAATAAACTCACTTTCCCATTGGGCTGTTTTGGGGCACCCTCTTTTGTTACGGTTGTTTTAGCTGTAGCCATTTTAGAGACCGCATTGGGTTCAGGCTTTCGTGCAGCAGCAGCTGATTCGGGCTTTTTCTCTACTTTCCCCTAGATGGAGACAAATGGATGATTTCAACCAGCAAAAGCAAACGTGCGGGCAGGAAAAGTACGGGAACACAAAGCCACCCCAATAAAACCAGCGGAGTGGCCAACCCAGGAGAACTTTGACGTGCTGTCGCTGTCAGCAAAGCAAATCTCACGTCCAGGAGCCAGCAGGAGGGGGAGCAGTGCTGCTCCGAAATGGGCTGGCACAGAGCAATAAATGAGACAAGTTCTCCATTTCTCCAAGAACTCGTAGGTGCCCTTCATCAGCATGCCCTTATTTCCCCTGTGGCCACACTGACCGGTCTCCAAGTGAACACAGTGCTCAGCACGGTGTGAAAAAACCTCAATCCATCCTTCAGGAGCCCAGCAGCAGCTCAGGATCACCTCCTTCACTTGGAGGGCACTGAGCAGGTCTCAGAGCACATCCACAGATCAGCTTTACTTTGCCTTGGAGCTCCAGAGCTCAGCTGGACACAGAGGGGCTGTGCTCCCACCTCTGATTTCTCACCCCCACACCGGGGTGACTCAGGCTTTGGGATCAGCAGATGATTTATTATTTATTTTTAGCTAATTGAATGCAGGCGGACCTGACTGATCTCGCTAAACAGAAAACTGAACACAAATTTATGGGTTTTAGAAAAATTAAGCAACTAGCTGAACATCCATTTTTTTGGTAATTTTGGTGATAATCCATTTTTTGGTAATCTGGGTCCGAATAGGAGCAGCGGACCCTGTGTTCTGGGGGGTGAGCAGAAATCCTCCAATTCCCTAACCCACCAGCAGAGCAAATAAAAAGCCTCAGCACTCCCTAGGTGTTCTCGTACTCTGAACACATCCAGCTTAAATAAGACTACAAAACGGGCAGTTTTCCTCAAAAGCAGGATTTACCACTCTGAAAATAACAACAAAACAACGGACAGTAAAACTGAATGTAAAAATAAATCCTCTCAAGCCAACACCATAACCCTGCAAGCTAAAAAGCTCTGCGGTCCTCCAGAACCCCAGCACGGTCTGAAATCAGGGCCCAGGCTGCCACGTTCTCTTTGAACAGATGTTAGAAGGATCTGTCAACTTCCAACGTTAAATATTGCAATCTGAACCCGATTTGAAAGCGTCACTGTCCTGTTCACAGAGTGGAAGTTTTGTCTTCTAGAGCTCCGAGCGCTGAGGACCATCCTGTGATGCTGTACAGCTGAGATATCCTGAACCCTGAGGAATGTGTGTCCCATGCGTGTATCTCTGTGACATGCAGCACCACAGCCCAAGAATGCCCTTGACTTTCATGTGCCTCCGAGGAGATTAAAGCTCCCAGCATGAAATGAACTCTCCCGGCATCAGATTAAAGTTCTGTACTGGGTTACTCATTACAGCAGACCTGCAGCAAAGGCAAGCGGGCAAATTAGTTCCACTTTGTGGAAATTAAAGCCCTCTGACTGCGTGCAAGCTGCTAACGCGTGTTGTCAGGCAGAGATGGGGTACCTGTTGGACAATACCCACTAAAGGTTTTATGGTCATGCATATCCACAACGTGATGTAAACCCTCAGAAGGGTTTGGGGCATAGCCCCAAACCTTTACCATGTCCATGGTAGATGCTCACAGTGAAAATTTAATATATCTATGTACACACCACTCCCTACAGCTCCTTCATCACTAATCTCTTCTTTCCTTGTGGCCACCAGGACTTAGCTGAGGAGCAGTAAATGTTCCTTTTCATTTCAGCTCTAGGTCTGACAAGTTGAGCAGAGTCCCTGTTCCTAGAGCTGGGAAAGGTGCTGTGGAACTCGCACCCGAACCCAGATGTCCTGCATCACAGTGCATCATTCCACCTTCTGTACCATTCACCAGACTCAATTCCTCTACTCAAAGCCGGTTTTGGAATATAAACAGTGTTTGAGCTTTCCATACCAACTCTTTCCTATGTTGGGATGTACGACAGAAAAACAGAACCCAAAGGTTTGAATTCCTGTACGTGTGCCAGTAAACACCAGGCAGGCTTTTAAGGTGGATTCCTTCTGCACCCTACTACCAATGCTTTGTTAATGCCCTCTGCAGAAACCAAGAATCCAAAGAGGAGCTCTGCTGAGTACAAATATGAGAAGAGCAGTGAGGATACAGCCACCAAAATTAGCAAAGAGCACCCACAACGCTTAGGAGCTACAGTTTCAAGGAGCATATCGGTATCAGGTTTGAAGAAACTTACCTTTCCTCCACCAGGCTGATGTTTAATATTATCTGTTGATCCGATTTTGGAACGTACATTTTTCAGATCTGGAGCAGAAACGCTGCTGGTTGGGCGAGGAGGCTTGGAAACAGTGCTGGGTTTAGTTGGAGCCTTAGCAGTTGTTTTTTTAGCATCCGCAGTTGCAGTTGAGGTTGTAGTGGGTTTGGTTGCAGCAGGCTTGGGTTTGGGACGGCTGGCGGCTGCTCCAGGTAAACTAGGTGCGCTTGAGGTGGTGGTAGGAGTGGTGGCACTGCTTTTTACTGCATTTCCAGAAGCGCTCTTAGGGCGGGCCAGGTCTGCTACAATGATCACAGCGATAGTTAGAGGGAGAGGGGGGGAAGGTGGGTCAGAGGCCATTTACACAAACGTCCTCAGCATCCTGAAGCTGTACAGTGGCCTGCTTAATAAACACAGCCGCAAACAAAGGGGATTTGGATTAGATGGAAACAGCGAAATTACCTGATGGTGACTTTGCAGCGGGCTTCTTGGCATCTGCAGGTTTCGCATCAGTCTTGATAGCTGCCCAACGAAAAGCACACGGGTTAGGATCTCAGAGTGAAAGCCAGTTTGCACAGATGAGAAGCCCGGGATCCTGGCACAGCTTCCCCTGGAGGTCATCACGTCCTGATGGTCCTTTTTACCCACTGTCCCTGTTTCTAACATGCTTCTTGAGAGAAAGCATCTCAAGAATGACCTGCGAACGCTGGGCTGAGGTCCCCATCACAGCAGCAAAAGCCACTCGTGTTTTCCAGCAAAAGGACCAAAAGGATCATCACTCAATGATGCAACACACTTGAGTGTGTTGTGTGAGTTTGCTTTTTTTTGAGTTTACATATTTTTCCTTAAAATAATTTCCCGAATCTGACAGCACTCACTCCAACATTATTTAAACTCCGACCTAATTTCATTTCTTAAAAAGCCTTTCCTTACTAAATAGCAAGAGCAGAATCACATTTGTCCATCTCTAATCCTGGCATCGTTGCCAGATCCGTTCTAACCAACGCCAATTTTCGTGCACAGAAGTTATTGCACACTGTGGTCCCTTCTCTAATTATATAAAAATAAAAATCAGTCACTAAACTGCAAATGTGCCTTTGGGCAAACACCAGTGGTCATGACCTGATTACAGACAGAGGACAGCCCAAACCAGGAACACATCCCCATTTCTCAAAGCAGAACGAAACCATACACAAAACTGATCAAGGAAAAATCACAGACTGGAAAATATAAACAGAGCCTTACTTCGAAGAGCTCTTTGATAATGAAATTGTAGTTTTTGCTATCGATGATTTGGCTAAGGTCTGCTTCATTTCACTAGCCAAATGATAGCAACATTAACAATAAATACCAAACGGGAAAATCGAAGTAAGTTAGAGACTATGAAGGTCCCCTATCCTCTAATATTTAATTTCCATTAGCAGCCTTAGATTTTTCAATAAACTCGAGTAGCTGGCAGGGTATTTTATGAAATGCCAGTACAGAGAAGAACAAGCAAAACAGGCAGATAACCACAGGTCAGGTTACCCTGGATCATTCCACCCAGACTTTGCTAAAAGCGTGAAGTTAAACAGCACCAGTAAGACACTAGCTAACGAGATGAAACACGTCGGAATAATTTAATCAGGCCTGAAGGATAGATAGATACATAATTAATACCAATCCCTTCCAAAAGGCCCTGTCAAACCAACCTTATCTCCCTCCCTGAGACCTCAACTTTAGCTGGGAAAACTGACTACATGGAGAGAAGGTACGTGAAGCCAGATGGACTACGATGCTACTTGGATACACCAAGAGAGGTGAATATTTCCCCTCGTGTCAGCGGGGAGCCAGATGCCAGAACACGATCTGATTAGCAGGTAACGTCAAAGACCTGAGAAAGCTCCTGCAGAAACATCTATACCAACAAAGTGCTCTTACACAAACACAGCCCTCATTTGCACAGCCAGGGGGAAAGCCTAAATGCAGATAAACAATTAAACCCCGCGCCACTCAACCTCTTGTTTAGGAGAGGAAGAGACTGACATGAAACCACACAACTTCCAAACAAGCCACAATTCACATGTTTTTGTGTGCTGAGCACGACTGAATATTTGAGCGAACCACAAGAAAGGGACTCTCTTTTGACACCTGAAAAGCGAGAGCTGATGATTTCCTTCTGAAATACCACCTTTAGCCAGAAACTTTGAATCTGGCCTCATGCTGGGTTGTGAGAAACGAAGCTGTGACCAGCAGAGATCCAGTTCTCCTTCACCTGCAGCTCTGCACCTCGCTGAAGCTGAATCTGCTCTGCCCAATCTGAGTTGTTGCTGTTCGGCTCGCTTTGTGGCTTCACACCCTCCCCTATCTCACGCCCTTGCTTTCTCCTCTCCCAAAAGAAGCCTCATTTTTATTTTTTTTTAACCATTCATGACTGCCCCAAGCACTCCCAGATCCAGACAAAACTGCTCTGCCTCCTGATGGAGTTTCTCCAGCTGTCCTCAGCTCTCCATCGCCCACCCAGGGCTCTGGCTGTTCCTTGGCACTGTCCCTCCACGCTCTCGGGTGCAGAACCTCTCCCGCCGTCCATCTCAGCACTTGGAACAACTTTTCTGTGTCTCTGCATCACTGGCTCCATCTCCTTTCAAATGTCATCAGAAAACCCTTCTTTGTCTCTCAGTTTTGGAAGGAGAAATTAACTCAGCTGAACTCATTAAAATGTGTTAAGCATTCTGTGCTGCGGTTTGCATAGAAGACCACACAAAATGAATTTTACAGGAATATCCACAGGATTAGGTAAGATACGTGGCTCTTGGAAAGTGCACTGCTTCCTCTGCGCAGGGTTAATTATATTTTCCCCTGGAGCAAAAAGTGGGGGATGTCCATCTAGTCTAATATGTCTGAACACAGTTCTAACACTGTTGTTCTTTTGGGGAAGATGGGTTCCGAATTCATGCTTTGGGACTCAGAGCAAAGCAACTAACATGCCTCAGTTTTTACCCGTTTATTGGAAAATTTGGATAAACGACCAAATTTGGGACTCAGAGCAAAGCAACTAGTATTCATTAATTTTTACCCATTTATTGGCAAATTTGGATAAAGGACGGATGAGATCCAGTCATTTGAAAAGACTTGAAAACACTTGAGTGTATTTTCATCTGAAGGTAAATCTCTCAAACTGTTAAGGTGAGTGGAAATAATGTTTTCACGAGGCTAATATTCTGCTCATGTTTCTTGCTGACTCCGTTAAACTCGTGGGAAATTCCCTCTTTGGCAGCAGTGCCTGGGATGGGACACCGCTTTTGGATGAAGCTGATGTGATTTCAGCTCCAAATTCTTCCAGCACTAATGAAGAGGAAAAAAAAAACAGAATCCATGCAGAGAAAGAAGGTGAAGCTCTTTCCTCACATCTTTGTGTGGCTAAGAGATAATTAAACTAAGCAAGCACAGCATCCAAGCCCACCTAAAAGCCACCCATTTCACAACGGAGTGGGAAGTCAGACTTCAGCCAGCCCAGCACCTGAATCCTCCTGTTCTGCTTCAAGCTGTCCATGAGCTACAAACATCTTCTGAACAATTTTGACCAGACTCGCTGACAAAACTAAAAACACAGCTTGATCCCATAAACAACCTAGGGCATCTGAAAGATAAGCCAGTATCTTCTTGCCTTTTTTTTTATTTTTAAATCCTTCCAACATTCCATGTAGGGGATGCTACACACTTTTTTTTTTTAGATGCACCAGTTTGAGAACTTAAAGTACCATCCTGAAGATTTGCTTTCCACAAGTTTTAATTGTTTTGAGTGATCATTTTAACTGTTACTGTAACAAACCAAAGAGGTAATAACATCCTTAAATCAAAGGTTCAGTAATTGTATTAATTCTGAATCGCACAAAGCTGATTCAAGTTGGACTGGAAGCTCTGGAGAGAAAAAAAGCCTAACCCACTGTCTCCATGCTTTGGCACAAGTTCCTGTCCCATGCTGTATTAAGACAGTTAATATTTATTTTAATATAATAATACAGACAGCTATAATTAAGCCTCTGGTCACTTCTGACTAACAGGTAGGGCAGTTTACACCTCTCAGAAGAACAGGTTCACAGCAGCTACAGCTTCTCATAAGTGGTTGCATTTCCAGGTTGTAGGTTTTGGTGCAAACTGAAAACCTGCAGCTTAGAGAGAGCTCTGAAGACAAGGCAAGGGAATACTTACAGGTCGGCCTCTTCGGTGGAGAAGCAGTGGTACTTTTTGTCCCAGCAGCTGCAGTGACTGCAGATGCTGCTGTTGTCTTAGGAGCAGCAGAGGTGCTCTTGGCAGCAGTTCTAGGAGTGACAGACGATGGAGGCTTTGAAAGTGAGGTCCGCTTCTCTGGGCTCTTTGCTTCTGTAACCTGAAAATGGATGGGCTGCGTTAAAGCCAGAATTTCATTGACAGGCTCTTCAAAATGTTTGCCAACAAAAAGCAAGAAATAAATTGAAATTCTTTTCTAATATAGAAGGTACAATTGCGTAAATTCTTGAACGTGTAAGCTGGGCACTGTCGAGGCATTATAAAGCAGGAAATTAAAAGAACATAATTAAGGTATGCAAAAGTGGCTGACTACATCCAGTACTGGACACACTGAGTATTAGAATTCATCCAGCATTAATGCTTGGTGTCCGTTTACAGATGTGAACAAGGCAGTGATTTCCAAAATGGGTCCACTAGCAATAAAGCTGCAAGAGGGTCCTTTCCTTCATGAGCAGAAACACTTTTTAAGCTAAGCACACTCTTAAGTATTGAGATCCCGAGTCAATATGTGAAAGCAAAAGACACTGAGTGATTACATCAAACAGGAATTCAGAATCATGCAAAAACTTAAATAAAACTGAAGACGCTGATATGCAGAAAAAACTAATCTGTGCCAATTTGGTTTTCCTTAAAACGCTACAGTCAGTGACTTCTGCCTGCTGGGAGTTCAGCTCAAGGCAGGTTGTTCAGTGCTACCTGCCCAAGTGCCAGCATTTCCACCCAGAGGGATACTGACTGCTCCAGCAAGTACAGATTTACGTCTTTGCTTTCAAATTCTTTGTTATTTTCATAACTAGTTTTTACAAGAAGCTCGAATGCAGTTATTTAAGCTTAAATGTGTAGTAAAAACAAGAGCATTTGAGCATCAGCTGAAAGCTTCTGAAATAGTTTTTAATATTCCCTTCCAAATTTCAGTTCTTCTACTACATGAGAACTTGGATGTAAAGAATCATGAACAGAAAGGTCTTCTGACTAGAGCTAAAGAAAGACCCAGGTAAGACCTTAGCCAATGTATCTCAAGCAGACTTAAGAGGTGAAATAATTTCATGTGTCAAGCTCAGTGAGAGCAGAAAATTCGTCTTAACATCAATATGATTCCAGGCAAAAGCTGATTACATTTCTACAGTGTTTAAACTCGCAGGGGCAGGGGAGGGATGCTCCACACGCCCAGGACCTAGCTGCAGATCTGCACAATGCAGAAAGGTCACGGAGTCGGTGTAGGGAAGATTCAAGGGACATTTCCCATTCTTGACATTGCACGTGGATACCTCCCTGAGCGTTAAGATGGAACACTAAGAATTGTCCACAAAGCTTCTTACTGGAGAGTTACGAATCTCCAACACTTCCTAAGCACACACATGTTATTATCAGTTATCTCTCTACAGTTTTTATTATGGCCAGACACCATAAAGAGACAATCACTGGGCAACACCGAAGTGTTCACACTGATTTTTCCCCCTCAATATTAATACAAAAGCTCTTTACTTCGCTTTCCCATGCTCTTGTCAGGCTTTAACAGTTATCCTGGGTTTGCAGCGTATCTATATTTTAGAAAACCCTCCTTTAGGAATGGTGAGACATGAAGAAATATCTCGTGTATTTGACAGTCCCACAAGTCAAGTTTCATCTTCTCCTTCGTGGTGACACAATTAAATGCCTGGGACCCGAGGCTGTAAGTGGGTTAGTGGAAGCTGATACCAAGAGCTGTGCGTGTCTTGCAGTGAATCACGTTCATTATCCTATCCTCCTATGTTTAGCACCAGAATTAGGTTTTGACTTCTGGGTAAAAGAGCTGCTAGTAGGCTAACACGTAACTACGGTCTTGGAGCTCCCACACAAAAGCAAAGAATCTCTTACCTTTGGTTTAGGCTCTTTTGTAGTTAAGGTGGAGGGCCGTGTAGTACTGGTGGCTGGGCGTTTAGGAGCAGTGGCTGAAGTAGGACCTGCAGTAGGGCTCGTGGGCTTTTTGTTTTGGGCGGGTGCGGCAGAGGCTGGCCGCTTGGGGCTGGTGGCGGGCAGAGGCCTGGCTTTCGTTGCCGCAGGCTTTGCTGATGGTGTGGCTGCTGCAGGCTTTATGGTTTTTCAAAAAAAAAGCAAAATCCGGCGGAACAAAAGGAAAAACACAACAAAAAGTAGCGCATTGTAAACCAAAACGTCAAGCTGCAAGAACACGGAAATGATACGTAAAATGAAAGGAAAACTTGGCTTTCTGTTTTCTGAGCACAGCGGAAAGATCACAACGAAGCAGCTCCGGTGCCTTCGGAGCCCAGTGGAGCTCTGCCACTCAATTCAAAGGGAACGGGATTTATTCCAGCAACATCCAAAGCAACAGAAGGAATCGCTGGTAAAGCTGGGATTAGTAATGGGGTGCTCCTGGCCATCCAGTGCCGCATGCAGTAACCAGGACACTGCTTTCCAATTACATGCACACAACGGATTGCAGGCTCTAAATCCTCCTCTGATCAGCGCCAGGGGTCACACCAGCAGTGCCTGCGAGGGGACCAAGCACCCCCAGCCCCTACCCCTACTCTAACTTGGAGAATTTGGGCTTGGTTTTGTTAAATGCTGCATGCTGCTTAGGCAGGTCTCTCTTATTTCACAAACAGCCCCAAAATAAGAGGTTACCAGGTCCTGAGCAGGACCTCTCAGTGCTGTCTGCAATGCAAATAATGTCTTATAAACAGCTAGGAGTGTATCAGTACAGCAGAAATATTACTATGTCTTCTATTTCTATACCACAGATACCAACCAGAGCATTACTTTAAATAAAAGCCTACCAAGAATTCATGAAATCCATTTTCAGCCAAATTTGCTGCAGCCTGCCTTGTTTACAGCTCCCTAACTGAATGCCTTTGTTCCAGCAAAGTGGCTCGCAAATGGCAGCTCAGAAAAGAGAACTTGTGTCGCCGTGGCTTAAGAAGCAGAAAAGCTGGCAAATAAAAACTGCAGAAGCAAACAGGCTCAACGTGAACCCATGCCTACCTTTGTCTTCTTCTCAGGGCTGGGAGGAAGCTCTTTGTTTGGAGGCGCTGTGATATCGTTCCCTGTCACGGCTTCAGCTGCTTTGGGCTCTTCGGGTTTTGCTGGCAAAAAAAAAGGAAAACGAATGGCTTAAGTTTGAGCTTTTTTGTTTGCTTGGTTTGTTTGTTTTACTTTTTCTCCCTTATTATGCAATGCTGTAACAAGAGGTGAGGGAACAAGGCAGTTAGGGGTTGGCTATTTCTGGAAGAATTTCCCCCAAATCAGAACACTCAGAGGAAGAAAAATTTTCCCTGTAATAGGGACAGGCTAACTAACGTTCATCCTGATGCCATTAGCATCCCATTACTCAGCTGACGAGGAAAGAAAGGCAGCAGCTGAAGGAAGCCTCTGGTTTAATTAAAAATAGCAAACTTCCCCATCTCTTCAAGCTGGTAAAATCAATCGTTGGAATATGAATGGTGCAGCTCTGGCTTCTGAGAGCTTTCACACCACGACTGTTACCTTGAAGCAGGGCGCTATTTTCGGGCTGGCCCTACCACTGCTGGCTTTTCTTCCAGAGGGCAGCAGCAGCACGGGGACCTCAGCCTGCCACGGAATTGGTGAGCGTGGGGTGCACGGTGCCATGCTGCTGCACACGGTGATTTGCAGAGCAAAGCCCAGGGGTGGTTCAGGTTTTCTCAGCGATTGCTGGGGTTTTGTCATCGCCCCGAAGGGTTTTGTGCCGGGCAGGGAGCAGTGAACGCAGCGTGGGAGCCACAACCGCCTCCTCCATCCCCTGGAACCTCGTTAAGGTTGATGGTGGATTGTCCAGCTGGCAGCAAAAGGCTAACAACCGCCTGCCCCCCGAGATAAACGACACAACACGACAGGACTCAGAGCAGCAGCTCCCCAGGTTTCATCCCCAGCTCCTCGGGGCTGCTCAGGACCTACAGCAGCACCCAGGGGACCCTCAGCACAACTCCCCGGCGGGCAGCGCGGTGGCACCGGCCACCAGCCGTGACCCTCGAGACTCCTGGCAGATCTGAGAAGGGCACGGAGCTACCAGCCCATCACACATCTCTTCCTTTTCCCCTTGTCATCGGGGCAGGAAAAACAAAGCCAGTGTTGGGTGTTTCTGTCTCGAACAAGGCAGCGGATTGTTGCGCCGCAGCGCATGATGAGGGCTCACCAGACAATGGCGCAGCGACTCCAACAGTAGCAGGTTGTTTTGAGCATCCTTTGAAAATTGCTGTTTCTGTCTCACATCTTCTCCCTTGCCAGCCTTGAAGGGAGAGCCTCAAAGCACAGTTCAGCCCCGCTACGGACTCCATTGTTGAAACAAGCAGAATAAAACCCTCCTCCTGCCCGGGCGATGCTCAGCAGCACAGCGGTTTTGCTCTTGTTGATTTATTTATTTTTTCTGACTCGGGACAAGTTTAGCAGCTTTCTTATCCTCATATTGCATCAACCTCTTCCTAGTCATGGCTCCCAAGTCACCTGAAATGTTTTGCAGCACTGTGCTTCATGTCTTTTGCATACAAAAAAAGAGTTATATAAAAAAAACAAGCACTAAAATGTCCAGGCTGGCTGCTAGCTTTAATGCAAAATTTTTAAGGGGCATTCACGTTCATCTAGAAAGTCCTTTTTTTTGGTAGCTAATCTATATCGGCTCCTCTCTACTGCTTTTCTCCACCGAATTTCAATAAACCTTTATGCTCTCCCTCATTTAACTTGTCAATTTTATCTACAGCAACGCCAGAAAGAGCGATTGGTGTGGACAGATCGGGCTGCTGAGCAGCCACCTCCTTTCTGTCCATTCAGTGCTTCCGTGCCTGGAGATTTGATTTTGGGGAGCTTAATTTGGAATCCTGCTTGTCCCAAATACAAAGACACGAGGTCACTTGTCCTTGATTGGAAATCACCTCTCAACTGTTATTGTTATCAGATGGTGGTGGAGGCGAAATCAGCAGCACCACCAAACCTCTCACGCCTCGCAGCCCCAGCGATGTGTCGGCTCAGGAAGCCTCCAGCAGCTTCCTGGAAACCCTGAGCGCAGCTTCAGGATTTAAACTCGGCAGCTTCCTCGTTTGTGATCGAATGAGAAGATGAAATTCGTGGTATTTCTCACTACCTTGTCCAACACAGGGTTTTTGGAGGTACAACCTCACCGGACACACAAAGGAACTGACCTGAGTGGGCAGAGGGTCTGTAAGACGAACAAGATTGTTCTTTTTAATGGGAACATATAAATGTTGGATGCCAGGACTGCTGGGGGAAGCTACGCAGCTCCCTTCTGAAGCCCAGGAGCCTGTGCACAGCCCCAGGGGACTTCAATGGGGTCAGTTCTGTGCTGCCTCGATGCGAGCCACAGCCCCGTGTGCTCCCCGGGTGATTACGAGGTGCTCGCTCCCACACAGAGCGGAGAACGGCCTGGGAAGATGTGCTAGCTGCAGGACATTGCGTTGGGAAAAGCTGCCAAATCTTAATCAAATTTGCTCATTAGTCTGCAAGAATTATTGAAGAGACTTTTCAGCCTGCCTGTTCCCCCAAGCACGGCAACAGACCTCGGAGAGGTATTTCAAGGACATCTTGCTCCGAGCTGGGACAGCGACCGCTGTGCCAGGGGCAGGAGGAAGGGGCTTGAGGGAAAAACCTGTCCAGTTTCCAGAACTGGGTCCAGTTCTGGGCTCCCCGGTACAAAAAAGACGGGGATCTCTTGGAAGGAGTCCAGGCAGTTCTGCACCAACACGCGAAAGAAATTCTTCATGGTGAGGGTGACGGAGCGCTGGGACAGGCTGCCCAGGGAGGTTTTGCAGACATCAATTAGGAGCGAGCAAACCTGATAAGCTGTGCTGATGTTTCCTCCGCAGTGATATCGGGTGTCCTTTGGAGGCCCCCGGGGCTGGCCGTGGTGCTGCGGGGTGCAGGGACCCCCTAGCAGCCTGCTGACCCCACGGGGCTTCGGGGCTTCGTGTGTATGGAGCAGGTGATGGAGCCTCTGGGAGATGTTGGACAAAACTGTTACTGGGTGAAGGACCCAGCAAAGGCGACGTGGTGCTCGGATAAAAGTGAAGTCAGTGGGAGCAAGAGTCCTAGCAAACACGGAGCAGAGACTTCTCAGGGGCTGTAAAAAGAGGATGCTCTGTGCCAAAGGATGATGCTCGGAAATACAGGCTTTGGGTCCTTGCTATAAAAAGGGAGATGCTGTTCCTTTAGGTCAGGAAAATTACAAAGAGAGAACTTGTCCCACACTATCAGGGCAAGCCATGAAGAGCACGAAGGAGGAGGTTTACACAAAGCGGTCAAAGGACTGATGTGTTTAAGACAGATCTTTTCCCCACCAAAGAACAGACCGGAGAGCAGCTACTTTGCCATCGTTTTAAGACCAAAACTGTCCTCCAAGGCTCAGTTTTAATTTTTTAACAGACTGTTCTATGGTTGCTTATATACAGCACACGAGAACAACTTCTGACGGAGCCCCCGAGCGTATCTCACACTTAGTCATTCAGCCCCAGCCCGTGCTACCGCACCTACGGAACACCAAGTCACAAGCTCCTGATGTGCAGCTCCTCCTGTGGTTAGCTCTCCTTTCAGGAGACTTCCTCTCCTTAGAAAACAGGTTAGGAAATTGAATCACAGAGCCACAGATGGGTCAGTGTGGGACCTCAAAGCCCCCAGCCCCATCCAGCCTGGCCTTGGGCACTGCCAGGGATGGGGCACCCACAGCTCCTGGGGATCTTGATGGAGTTTTTCGGATGCTAATGGGGGATCTTCCTCTAAAGCAGCACCAAATGGTGGCGAAAGTCATCGTAACCTGAAAAGAGAAGAGCTGGGCAGTGGGAAATGACAGCGTGGGTGATGTTCAGCTGGTGGAGCAGGAAGGCAGGACAAGGCGCCCCGCTCCTTCCAGCTGGCCCAGGTGCCAACTGCACATACGGACAGCTCGGGCAATGCTTCAGGTTTTTAACCTTGGCTCGTCACTCGAAAGGCAATTATACCTCTTGGGAGAGCTCAGCATCACCTCCAGGTCCCGCCGGGTCGGGCTGCTCGCGGCCGGCAGCTTCCCAGAGCAAGGGAAAGGTTTTTCAACACGAGGGAGCTCAAACAGAGGCCCAGGAGCACTGCGTGCTCTCCATCGCTGGAGACTTGCAGACCTTGCAAGGGACAGATGTGGCCCTGGAGCTACGTGACCTACTTAGGCGTGATCTTGAGTCTGGGGTTAAACCAGAGACCTCCGGAGCCCTGCTCCGATCTGAATGACTGTTACGGCATTGTAGAGGAGGATGCCCACGCCATACGCAGTTAATCATATGTCTCCTTGAAACCAGGAGCTGTTTATGAATAGAGTAACCATATATAGTTTTCCGAACCATAAGGAAAAGAAAAAAAAAATCCCCCGTTCTCCAAAATAAATCCCTCTCAGCAGCCTGTGACTCACAATCTAGGGACTACCCGAGCTGGAGGGGATGGCTCTAAGTTTTCCATGAGCTTCTCCACCAGCTTTTTAGGCAAAGCAATCATTTAATATTAGAACGACAGAAGAACGCAGGTTGGGAGGGATGCCTGGAGGTCACTCAGCCCAATTCCCGACTCGAACCAGGCTCAAACTGCACCAGATTGCTCAGGACGTGGCTCGGTTGTGTCCCGAGCACCCCCGGGAGTGCCTGCTGTTACTGGCATTTGACGACCCACATTCTTACACCGGAAAAACCACACAGACTTTTCCTGTTCACAGTTTCTGTCATTCACGATACAATTTGTGTCATTCATAGGCAATCTCATACCCATCCCTTCCCCAAGTCCTCTCTGCTCCAGGATTGAAAGTTAAGTTATTCAGCCGCTCTCCGTGTGAATTTCTCTAGCGTGATGCCTTTGTTTATCACCTTTTGAAGGCGACTACAACCTTTTTGAGGCAGAGGACAAGAAGCAGATTTACATGTTGTATTCAGAACAGAAAGGTGTAAAGCATCGAGAAACTGATGCATTTGTTTCCCCAGTTTGATCTCCTTTCCTTTCTGAACTCCCACAATTTCATCTGCCGAAGGAAAGCCACACAAAAGCATCCCTGTGACATCCACGTATTACAAAATCCCCACAACAGCAGCATTATTGCTCCTCCTCA